ACTAAATTATTTTTATAAAAATTGAACTAAAATAAATTTTATGTTCAGTTTTATAAATCTAAAACTATTTTCTAAAGAATAGTTTGTTAGACCAAAATGTTAATATAACTGAATTTTCATTATTAATACCTTTTTCATAACTTTTCAATTTCGTCTATTACCCACTCTTGAGTCAGTATACTAGTGACTTAGTGTTACTGTGCACAACTACACATTTTTGTTTTGGCTATAGAATTTTTCTATGGTAATTTAATTTATAGGATTAAAAGAAAAAATTAATTTTCATTTATTAATTGAATAAAAATTTATATATTTTTGGTAATTATTACTCTTTTTATATTTTTAATATAATTATTATAAAAATTTAAAAATGTATTATATATGTGTACAAACTTATCTCTTTATTATCCAAATAATTTTATTTTTGATGCTAAAAAATATTATTATTTCAATAAAAAAATTATAATATTAATTAGTTGAGTTTAATGATTGAGTTTGCAACATTATAAAAATAACGGTATATATTTTTATAATAATTTTTAAAAGTCATACTATTTTATAAAGAACGCATTAACTAAAAAAATAGTTAAATGTAATATTTAAATATTATTTTAAATTTTTTATTTAATAATTAATAAGATCAGTAAACTCATTGAAAATTAGAGTCTTTATTAAAATACTTTATTTTTTTTTCATAGTCTTTATTCCATAATATCGAACTAGTTTATGAACTCGTGAAAAAATCAAATTACTAAAAAATAACATAATAATCATAGATTATGATAAATTTATTTATTTATTTATAGCATAAGTTTGACCGTAAAGAAATTATAAATTTAAAATTGAAAAGACATTTTTTTAGAATGCATTTGAATTCAATTTATAATAATAATAATAATAAGTTATTTTAGTATAAATTATAGTGTAATTCAAACTTAAGAACTATAGTTCACTAAAATATAAAATAGTTTAGTTAAATTTTTTGAAACTATTTTTTAGTTCGATTCAATTTAATCAAACTACAATTATAGTTTAGTTTAGTTCACATGTAGTTTAGTTTAGTTTAGTTTAACTATTTGAACAACCCTAGTTAGAAAAGTTAAGAGGAGACAAATTCTTAGGTGGAACTTTACGCTCCCACCCAATGAGATGAGCAATATGATTAGTGTGCATGCATAGAGAAAAAACAACCTCCCAGATTCGTATTCTCACTAAGTGATGAGAACATTGCTACATGAGAAAATGAATTTGTGGTGGCTCTGTTGAGGAGTTCGCTCAACGACGCATAATGTGCTTAGCAAGAGAAATCACAAAAAGTCCATCATCATCATTGTATTGGTTCCAGTATAAATAAGATCATCTACATATAGAGAAAGTAAGAGAGTATGCTGACCTTGAGTCTTGATGTATAGTGTAGGCTCACTCTTACTCCTCCTAAATCCATGATCAGTGAAGTATCTTGCTATACCATGCTCGAGGAGCTTGCTTCAGGCCATATAAAGCTTTCTTCAGTCTCAATACTTTGCCTTCATGGCCTTTCATCACTAATCCTGGTGGTTGCTCCACATAGATCTCTTCTTCAAGTACGCCATTGAGGAATGCAGACTTGACATCCAGTTGATAAATGTTCCATCCTTTATGTGCTGCAAGAGCTATTAGAGCTTTTATTGTGTCTAGGCGTGCTACTAGAGCAAATGTCTCATTGTAGGCCACTACTGGTTGTTGTGAGTAACCCTTAGCGACCAATCTTGCTTTGTACTTTTGTATAGTTCCATCAGGATTAAGCTTTGTTTTATATACCCATTTTACTCCAATGATATCTTTTCCATGAAGGCAATCTACGAGCTCCCATGTATTATTCTTCTCAATCATTTTAATCTCTTCTTCCATAGCCTTGACCCATACTTCTTGGTTTGCTGCCTCTTCAAAGCTTCCTGGTTCAAGTATGGCCAAGTTACAGGTTTCATATATATCTACCAGTGATCTAACTCGTCTCGGAGTAGACTCAGGTGATGATTCTTCTTGTTGTGGAACTATCCTTGGAGATTCTGGAGAGATAACAATGTATTGATTGTTGTCTTCCAGACTTGATGTAGTTGGTTGATTGATGGGCATATATATAGTATTCTTCTTGATTCGCTCTTCTTCCCAATTCCAAGTAGCATTTTCATCTACTTCAATATCTCTACTGATTGTTAGCTTCTTTGTTTGAAGATTGTAGACTCGGTAGCCTTTTGACTGTGAACTATATCCCAAGAATATGCCTCGTACAGTCTTGTCTTCTAACTTATGCCTTTTTTCATCTGGCACATGAATTTAGCAGATAGATCCAAAGACCCTTAGGTGCTTAGCTGATGGCTTCTTCCCGCTCCAAGCTTCTATTGGAGTCTTATCCCGAACTGCCTTAGTAGGACATTTGTTGAGCAGGTAGACTATAGTGTAGACTGCTTCAGCCCAGAATGTATTTGGCAGTCTTTTCTCCTTCAGCATCGATCTTGCCATTTCCATGACGGTACGATTCTCTCTCTAACACGCCATTTTGTTGTGGAGTATATGCGATTGTAAGTTGTCGCTCTATGCCTTCATCATCGCAAAATTTGTCAAACTCACGAGATGTATACTCCTTGCCACGATCACTTCTAAGTACTTTTATTTGTTTTCCACTTTGCTTTTCAACAAGAGCCTTGAATTTCTTAAATATTCCAAAGACTTCTGACTTTGTCTTTAGAAAATAGACCCATGTCATTCTAGAAAAGTCATTAATGAAGAGGATGAAATACCTGTTGTTGGTGTGTGATGGTGTCCTCATCGGTCCACAAACATCTGTATGAATTAGCTCCAACAAGTCCTTGGCTCTCAATGCTTTGCTTGTCGAGAACGACAATCGATGTTGCTTTTCGAGAAGGAATCCTTCACAAGCTTCATTATTTTCCTTTAGGCTGGGTAGATCTCTCGTCATACCTTTCTGATGTAGATGCTTTAAAGCATGAATATTAAAATGGCCAAATCTCTGATGCCAAAGCCATGAGTCGTCAACTTCTATCTTTATGGCAATATTAGTTCCAAATTTGAAGCTTATGGGAAAGTTTCTATTTCTCTTCTCCATTTTTACTTGGCCAACCTCTAACATTTTACTATCATAAATTTTGCATATATCTCTTTCAAAGAGAAGAAAATACCTATTTTCCATCATCTGACCAATGCTTAAAAGATTTTCTTTAAGATTAGGAACTAGTAAAATGTCCTTGATGAGTCTCATACCTTTCTTTGTCTCCACCATGACAGTGCATTTGCCTTGAGACTCCACCATGGTGTCATTTCCTAGTCGAACTTTGACTTTGACGGAGTTATCAATGTCTTTGAAGATGCTTTGGTCCTTGGCCATGTGATTGTTGCATCCATTATCCAAGTACCAACTTTCTTCTATGCTAGGAGATTATTGATTAGCATAGAATAGATGTTGCTCCTGATTACGCTCTTCGGCAAAGTTTTCTTGATGCTTATTTTTATTACGACAATACTTCTCCACATGGCCGGATTTATTGCAATAATGACATATTGGCTTCCCATGATGCCAACAGTCCTTTTCTGCATGTCCTGGCTTATTGCAAATACCACACAAAGAATATTTATCTTTTTTGTTTTCAGAGAAATTTCTAAAATTTTTGTTTATAGAACATTCTCTGACATTTTTCTTTCCTCCATCTTCTTTATTTCTAGGCTGTAATTTAAGCTTTGATTGAAATGCATTTTCAATTGAATCTATATTGACACGGCTATTTAATCTTGCTTCGTGCGCTTCGTGCGCTTCGTGGAGACCAATTAATTTATTCACCGGTAGAGAAGATGGATCCGAGGAAGTTTCTATGGAATAAGCTACAATGGAATCATATTTTTCCGTGAGAGTGATAAGAATTTTTTCTACCACTCTCTTCTCCTTAATTTCTTTTCCATATAATTTCATTTTATTAACTATTTCTTTTATTCTTCCATAGTATTCTTCAATGGTCTCGGATTCCTTCATTTTAATGGTCTCAAATTCTCTTCTTAGATAGTGTAGTTTAACGGAGCGTACCTGTTCATTACCTTCAAATTCTTCTTCCAAAGTATCCCATGCCTTTTTTGCAGTATCTGCGTCCATGATCCTTCTAGCAATAGTTTCTCCCACAGCTTGTTGAAGAACAAACTTGTTGAAGAACAAACAGTGCTTGGGCATCCTTTTGTTCACAATCTTCTAGCTTCTTTTGCTCCTCTTTAGTAATCTGGTCTTGTATAACCAGATTGAATGATATCCCACAGTTTTTGTGAGATAAAATATGTCTTTAGTTTGAGCTTCCAAAGATCAAAATTTTCACCAGTAAAAATTGGTAAAGGGACAGATGAAAAATTAACGGTATTGGAGGCCATAGATCAAAGAAAGATGTTTATAAGTATAGAAGGGAATTTTAGAAGTAGTTAAATGATTTTTTTTACATCCTGTAGATGACTGAACGTAGCTCTGGTACCACTGATAGATTTAGAACAAATGTATAATGAGGTGGAATCAGTTGAAAAAATAATTAAGTAAAAAAGAAAGGATATTTGAAGGAACAGGGCACAAATTTTGTATTAATTTGAAAAATAGTGTAAAATGTAAGATTTAGTATTTAGGTGAAAGGCACTTAAGCTAGATTGTAATTTTGGAAGTACACTCAATGCACGGAAGCTATGCCTATTTATAGGCTTTGAACCACCGACTATCAAAAAGTGATTTTGAGTTTTTTATCATTTACTTCATTCTAGACATTTGTTTCTAAAATTATCTAACCTTTTTCAATATAAAATGGATAGCTTCCTGATGCTTCTCTCTATTTCTATACGTTTCTAGAATTTAGAAATTTGCAACATTTTAACAGGTTTCAATAGGTAAAAATGTTCTTAAAGTAAGCAAAATACATCTATAAGCCAACCTTTACACATCTGAACATAAAAACCTTATTTAATACACACATAGTCAAAACATTTGTTTTCTAGGGTTCCCATAGGAAACCATGAATAATCCAAGATTCATAAGATTAGTTTAGTATGTAAAATTGTACATACATGTCAATAACATCAATTAGAGCACTAAAGAAGCACAAGGAAGGCAAAAACACAAGTAGCAATTTGAGATTTCCCCCTTCATATGACACATACAACAATGAAGAGATTGAGGGTCAATCTCAATACCAACATATATCTTATGCCTAAAGTAAGATTACTCATTTCTCCTTACCTCAGTGAATGCTAGAAATGACATGATTCTCTGAGGTGATCTCCCAAAAACTATGGTTCTCCCAATTCTTCAAAGTCCAAGCATAAAGAGAGAAAAAATGAGAGAAGTGTAAGAAAGAAAATAGACATAACTCCCTTCTTAACTCTTAACCCTCGTTTAACCCAACAATAAAATTAGTAACCCATCATTACACTTCTTTTCCCTCAATATTAATATAAAACATATATTTAATTAAAATCATGTATTTCATATAAACAAAGCTAGCATGCTTATAAAACCAACCCAATTAATAATTAAAAACTAATTAATTTTATTAGCAAAAATCTTGGGGTGTTAATTACATTCTGGATGACATTACAATCCATTTATATATGTTTCATGTATTCATGGAAGATGCAATTGTGTTGGAAATTTTTTGTAAATTCTTGAGGTGCAATCAATTTTGTATTTTTGGTTTGTCAAAAGTAGACTAATATTATGATTCACTTTATGATACTTAAGCTCAACAATAATGTGATCAAATATAATGTATTGTGAGCACCTAATTCTAATTTGTGTGAAAAATGGTGTAGGCCTAAACCTAAAGACTCATAATGAGAGGTGCGTAGAGTTAATTAAATAATGTGGTTAGGTCCCTTTATCATCATGAAAACAAACAATTACTTTCTAGGTTTGCTCCATTGAAAACCTAGAATGTTGGAATGTGTGATCAGATAAAGGAAGACTTGACTTCTTGATTTCAATGACTTTAACAACACATAAAGAATTCTCAAAGGTACTGCTAATCATATCTTTAACAAGTAAGTGTATAATTTAAATCAATATTTTAAATGCATACAAAGTGTGATCTTTTTGGTGTTTTTTTCTTACAGTATGTTGCAATGTGTAGAGCAACTTGAGTGTCACATAAATTGACTTAAATGAAACAGGGTGGTATTTTTGCAAATCACACCACACATTTTAGGTTAGTTGTGTTTTAATTGACAAAAAATTTTCTATATCAATTGAAAAATAATTGATATAAAAAGTATTTTCTATGTTTGTTGACGAGTCATAGAAACCCATTTGCACTTTTGCTGATTCATTTTCATTTTCTCTTTTTTACCAGTTTTTCTCCTCTAACAAGTTCTTCTCTCTCTCTCTATCTCTCTCCTCTTTATCCTTGGCTTGTTTTTTGCTGTCATTGTCGTTGTGGTCATTCTCTCCCTCTTCACATGCATGATAATTATCAAATATGTATATCTTGTAATTAATTTAGGAAATTACCAAGCATATTCTATGCTTTTGAGTCATGTTCATGTAAAAAATACATATTAAAAATTAGTTTTAATTATTTTAATAGGATTCTTTAAGTTTTAGGTATTTTAATGTTTTGGTTAATGTTTTAGATGCAGGGAAGGAAATGCATGAAGGAAGACGAAGCTATAGTCAAAAGATAAGAAGTTTCACGAAGTGTTATCAAAATATTCAAGAAAAATTATCACAAGGAATTATCAATAAAATTATAAAATGAATTATCAAGAAAGATTATCAACAAGACTCATTTACAGTATGTCAAATAGGAAGATTATTCAATTATAAATAAAACTTCTACTCTGAAGAAATTTCTTCACGTTTTGTATATTTTTAGAAAGATTTGAGGAATTCATTTGTTATTGAGATTTGATGTAGCTAAGTTTGAGTCCATGTAATTCTTCATACGTACTGTTATTTAATGGTATTTTATTTCATTAATTGTTGATATTCTTTTATTAATGCTTGTTTTGATTTGATTTCCATGACATTTTTGAAAATATAGTCATTATCTTTAAAATTGGTTATCAAATAACTAATTTAATGTATAACATACAAAATCGATTAAATCTTTGACCGATTTAGTATGTGGTATGCTAAATTGCACTGGTGTAAAAAAAAAAATACTTTTAAAATTGACTTTTAAAAATTAGTTAACTGGAGACAAATTTTAAAAGTAATGTAATAATATTTTTGTAAAAGATTTTACCACTTTTAAAATTGACTAAAATTTAACAAATTTTAAAAAGTGTCATTTATGCTACCTTTAAAATTAATTCTTTAAGAATTGATTTCATATATAATTTACAAAAATTGATTTTAGAATGAATCAATTTTGTATTCTATATAAAAAAAAATCGATTTTAAAGGTATTATTCTCAGAGTTGCTAACACTATTAGTGCATATTCGTTATTTTTTACATTTTACAATACTTTATTCCCATTAACTTTAATAAAACCAAATATAGAATAGAATATAAAATTACAGAGGAGACAATGAGTCATAAGCTTGTTACCTTGGTCCACCATCTGTTGAGCTTCAATATCAGTTTTTGAATAAGAATCCTGTGAGTTTTGTTGATGAAAATCTTTGAATGTTTGCTCCGCTTTATTTTTTATAACCTCCTGAGGTTCTTCCAATACGGACTCAACTAAATCTGATAGGTGTGATTAATAAGTATATGTAGTAATTTAATCATGGATAAATACACAACGTCCTTATTTAATAACAAAATAACCTAAGAACGTATCAATGTAACACTATACATATATCTAAATACACTGTTTATCAGTGAAATAATATCTAATCATTATTTGGATCATGTAACAAAAGATGCATGATTCCCAATTGAAATATATACTTATAACTCAAGATGACTTTATTATCCAAATATTAGATATTAGAAAGCAATCATGCTGCATTATGAACGGTAAATTAAGTTGAAAATTAACCTATTGAAGCAAGTACATTTTGTTCATAAATCATGATCATTTGTTTTTAATAAACAAAGGAGGTGTAAGATAATAATTAATTCGTCAAATTCCTGTAATCAACTACTTCAATGAATTGGCCACTATCATCTTAATAGAGACGAAAGGTGGGGGTTTAAGGGAGTACTAGCTAGTAGGCTAGTAGCTAGCATCACTCGAGATATCAAGGTAGTATTGTTAACATAATGAAATGCGACAAGATGAATGACTAACTTCTAACCCAAAGAATAATTTGAGGAGCCCTCCAAATCCTTAATTCAAAGTAGGGAATGATTAGTTGTTGCATATTTGAAGCCAAGTTGCAATACAGACTAGTTAGGTAGCTTCTCCTACGTACCAATTCCCAACTTGCTTGTTTTTAGACCAAAGAGGGACTTCACCATAGACTTTACTCCGTCCTTTATGTTCCACTCCTTGAGAAATAGTCATGTAGACATTTTCCCTTTTCATTCTTCTATCTTCCTTTGCAATTATATTCATTTTTTTTTAATTTCCATTACTCCCGCAAAACCACACCACTTAATAAGTCTTGTCATTCCTAGTAAAAAGTTAAATACAAGTTATGCAATTGTAACTGTTCGGTCCTTTTCCTATGTTACAATGGATATACACCATTTCCTCACATAATTTGATCAAAGAAGCAAGTCTTAAAATAATCTGTAATCAAATTGTAATAAGCTATTGTCCATGCAAACATACAATAATGTACAAAAATCATGAAGTTATACAAACCAAACATCCAATACATTTCATATATATAGGTTTGCTTTTATTAATGAATAATTTCAAAGACAATTACTATAAAAATATTGTCATCTAATAACACTATTTATAGTGACCAATATTTGCCTCTAAAAATTATTTTTATCTATAATATATATGTTGATATATTATTAAAAAATATAAATATAGACTATAATGACAAAAGAAACATGTTAAATCTCATTTAAAATCAACACTAAAATTATGTATGAATATATATAAAATAAATTTACATATACATATATTATATTTATAATAATATTTCTTATAATAAAATAAATTTTTATATATTTACCCGAGCATCATATTCACAGTTACCAAGACTGTATTAGCAAAACTCATATAACAGAAACTTCATTACAAATCATAAGAGGATGTACTCAAATTTTCATATGTGGATGAGTCCTTATAGATTTTGTTAACGCTGACTTCACTACGACATACCACCAAATTTCACACAACTTTCAACACAAACAAAGCTAGAATTATGTGGAAAACAAAACCTATTTTACTGCATTAAAGGGAGACAAGTCATCCATTCCAAGTTTCATTTTGGTAGCTTGGGTTGGAAATCATGACAACATTCATAGCTCAAATTGTTAGCATTTTGACCAAACAAATATTTTTGAAGAAAGAATTTAATTATCTAAATAAATAGCATTGGATAGAATTCGTGAATGCCAAATTTTCAGCATTCTTTTGTTGATGCAGTCAACCAAAAATTAATTACCAAATTATGCAAATATTTGTTTTGTTAAGTTTCACAAAACACACATAGTGTTACGTTTATTATTTATTTATTTATTTATGAGGATGAGAGGAGTAAATTAATATCGATCACTAAATTTGGTGTGACTTAAAAAACTTTTAAGTAAAAACTAAAAGCTAGAAATATTATGTAATTATAAGTAATTATGTTTTTTTCTTCAATATGTACATTTTATTTTTAGTAGAATCCATTAATATTATGAGTAATGCTAATTGGTAAAAGATAAATAAAATTAGGAAAACTAGTGAAAATCTACCTCGAGCAGCTTTTCGTTCATAAATTCGGGTATTAAACTTTTAGTAACCATTATGTTCCTAATATTATAATATATCGTTATATGATATTACAATTTTTTATAATCTAATTTCTATTTTATTTTTCATTTCTTATCATATTATTGATTAAATTCAATTCGACTTTCTTTTTCTATTTTTTTCTACTACTCTTTTTCTTCAAAAATGGTGTCTACGTTGATCATATTCCTAGCTAATATATAATATTATTCATGTAGTGTTTGTGCAGAGAAATAATCATGTACTTTTGGGCTTTCAAGTGCTTATGGTATTTATAATCACAGTCAATTTGTACGTACATGACATACATTTAAATTTTTTAATGTAAGAAAAAATTGAAATTTGATTGAGTTATGTTAAGTTAAGATTAATTAAGAACTATTTCAACAAGTCACCCGATAATTTCGCGATATCAATTTTTTTTTTTTTTGACAATTTGCATTTTCTCTTACAGCTAACTTTAGAAAAATGAAATAAAATAATATAGGATATAAAAGAACAGAGGAATTAGAGTTATTTGTTACCTTGGTCCTCCGGTTGTGCTTCATTATCATCATTTTCCTGATGAGAATCTGGTTGATGAGGAGGATGTTCCAATTCATCTTCCGGCCATGCTTCCTTGTATGCATATCGGATGGAGTAGTATCCAAAAACGACAAGGAACGCAGCGTTCAGTATTCCCAACAACAGATAGTATCTGTTCAAATGGCTAGTGTTGATAGTTTCCTTGATCCAGCTACTGGAAAATAAGACAACTGGTATAGTGAGGAGTTTGCCAGTACCCATCACTATTTCAGTAAACGATTCCTCGAAAGACCACATTGATTTTGCTACGAGGCACTGGAATAAACTGCCTAACCCCCCCTCAACAAATCCCTCCGTGGTTCCTACCAATACAAATTGTGGCACTAAGGTCATTGTCGTGGTCATTCCTCCTTTGGACAATCTACGAGACTCCATTAGACATGCTACGAGGCAGCAAGTAACCGCACAAAGCATGCCAAAACCAATCCTTGTAAGTGTGCCTGCTTTTCTTTTGGACCTACCATCCATACTTCTGAATTTTTTCAAGCGTCCAAATGCAAAACTAATAATAAAGCAGATGAATTCCGATACATAAATCATGATGTCCGAGATCAAAAAGAGAATCCAGATATCCCTATTACTCTTTGTAATAGATGTCATGATGGTTACTTGTGAAACAAAGAACGTGTTCTTGGTGGCCAGGAGTAGATCGTAACCAAAACTGGCTATGTACAGGTAGATCATTGGAACAAGGCTCTTCACTTCCCTCACTTCCTTTACCATGCAAAGCTTACCTTTCTTTTCTTGCATTTCATGATTACCATTCTCTTCTTCAACTTCAACTATAGCTGCTTTGTCCAACCACCCGAATAACCGTGGAACTCTGGGGGATAACCTTAGTCCTCTACCATGCTTATACAAGTGCTTCTGCTTATAATTCTTCCAGTGATATGAATTCGCTGTTGCTGGATACTTTGATTTCCGCTTCCCGGAAGCTGCTTTGCAGATTCTATAGATCATGTGTAGATAGCTTTCAGCCCTCAATTCTTTGCGCCTATAGCCCACACAACCAAAGAGGAAAAACAGATGAGTCCCCCCCATAAGAAGTGCCGCAACTCTGAAGGTGTAACGGTAGCTTGCATCATTCATGGTAAAGGCCATACAAACTGTTATGACATATCCAACAATTGAAACGAAGAATAGCAGCCATATATTAATTATACGACCTCTACCAACGTGGTCTTGCGCTCTGTTGTTTTGCCTGCTTCCATGTTCCAGTTCTCTTTCTGTTTTCTCTTTAATTTTCTCTTCTAACTGATACTCGAGGAACTTTTCTGAAAGCTTTTGACCGCTTTTCCCCAATGCAAGGATGAATATCGCTGCATAGCTCGAAAAATCCTCTACAGTTGTCGTAGACGTCCATAGTAGCATTAAGCCCTGTAATTAGTATCGAGAAATTAAAACAGTGACGTGTTAGAGCATAAATGCTGATGATTTACATAATACATGGGACCGGACATTAACTCGATTTAGGCACTCGCGGATCAATAATCAAATCACTGAATTATTAATTCAATTGTATGAATTGGTATATTTAAATTATTAATATGTTAATTTTATAGAAAATATACTATATATAAGTTAACTTTGTCATAATATTAATAATAAATCACTTTAACACGGTAGTAAGCTTTGAGTTTTGCAATCTCTGTAAAAGGAATCAAACTAGTTTAGGTTACAGTTTTCAGAGTTAAAAGGTCGGACTGATCTATCCGCGTTTGACATCACTGGATCCAGTCAATTATGGGATTTATTAACCATGCATTGGTCAACATAGATATATCACTATGATTCTTTCTTTTACTCTGCCACTTTTTCTCATTTATCATGAATTTCCACTTTTGCCAAGATGGTATCAAGAGCTTTGTTGTGTCAGGATGACAAGATATTCCCACAACATTGGTTCTGGTTCGAGCCAGAATGTTCCTAGAATCACTCATGCTTAATTGAATCTCCTGACTCCCTATTATCTTTTCCTAGATGAGTCCCACACAGGTGATTGTAAATCTCCATTGACATTGTCGTTGACGTTGACTAGAGATAATTATCATGTCTGGATGAAAGTTATGAAACTGAGTTTTAATGTCAAAAGATAAGTATCATTTTGTGGTTGGAACAATCAACACGTTAGATATTGTATATTGTCTAAATTGATATTGTATATTGTCTATTCTGTTGTTAGGGTTAATTCAGTTTTTATTTCGATATGTCGTTTGAAAATTGAGAATAAAATTAGTTTATAAATACATTTCTTTCTTAAATTAATTAAATAAAAATATAAATTAATTAATTTAATTTAGATTGCTAAGGATTTTAAAATTGTAAATCTAATACTTGAAATACCAACATCAAGTTTAACTGATTTAGTTCGATTTTTAATCTGAACAAAAAAAAACCTGAACTAATTTAATTGATTTTATTTGGATTGTCAGATTCATTTAGTTGATTTGATTCAATGAACACTCATAGATATGACCATAATACAGTACAAAAGTGGAGAATGATTCTCACCTTTCAAACTAACTTTTTAAACTTGAGTTATTTTGTGTTAAGATGTTGAATATTGTACATCACCTAGTGAGATATGACCATAATATATTGTATAAGTGGAAACAGGGAGCAATCCTCACCTTCAAGCAGATTTTCTGATGTAAACTTAGATTTCAAACCCACATTATTAAGACAAGTTACTTCATCAACATGAACCCAGTTTCAAAGCTTCGGAACAATGCAACTTGAGTTCCTAGATCTTAAACTCCCTTTCTCCATTGATTGTACATAGTGTTGCGTATTTGATAAGATGGGCTTAAAGAAGTCCAAAAGAAGAAAAATTAAATAGTTAAAAGATTTTATAGAATGAAGTCAAATGTTTTTTATTTCTTTTGAAATAATGAGATGTTGATACCAGGATAACTACTATCCATTGATTAGCATCAATTTAGGACTATATAAATATATTGTCCTTTTAGAAATGATTATCAATGAATGAAGAATTTGAGCATTATATTTATTTTGTAGTCTTATTTCTCTTTTTTTCTTTAAATTTAGGAGTAGTTTTAGCTATTTAGTCTCTAACATTGGTATTTTTATTAGTTAACTCTAGCTCCCATGGAAGTCCGCCTTTGCAACATATCTACTCAACTAGATGTTTACAAACCATAAAATCCATCCATGAGTCCCTTACCATCAATCTTTCCTCAACTAAGAACACCTTTCCACCTTCACTAGACAACACCTTTTTCATCAACCTATCTTCCAAAATTTTCAAACAACAACAAATATCTCATGCTCCTGCATACATCACCTTTGCCTCCCTTAGACTTAAACAAATCAGTTTTGCAACCATTCCTCATTGTGTCCCCACCACGTCATTTTCACAACACTCAATCACCATCCACAAATGCATCTGGAACGTCCCCATCCATGTATCCTTCAAAGGTTGAGAGGCATCCTATAGAGCTAGTGCATATGCCATTGCCACTAGAGGATGCGTCTTGGAGGTCACCAACCATGGTTTTTGCACAGTTCGTGAAGTCACTTGTACAGAAGAAAGTTGCAACAATTTTGACCTACACACTTGCCCAACCCATTCTCTCAACGCTTGTTTATATAGATCCAAGGGAGAACATGATGGATCTGCAGGTAGCGAAGGAGATCTTGATTAGTGTCCACTCCAACAACTTTCCTGCACCCCTTTCAAACCCCACTACCCTTTTCACAAAAAACTACTTGCAACATTGCACCCACTCATTGAAACTTTTCAAAAAAAAAAAAAAAATCAACTAACAATTTTATCTCTCCTTACACACCACTTGTCATCTACAAACTAATAGCTTTTCTCCTCCTATCAAGTCAGTTGGCCTTTACACATGTTTCCTTGCCCTTATCCTACCATCGATTCAAAATATTACTTTTACAAACAAATATCAACCATCCAAAATTAATACTCATGAGTCTCACTATTTTTTACATAACCTTGAGGGCAAGGTTTTCTTTCAACTCGACAATAATTATAAGATGGGCTTAGAGAAGCCCAAAAGAAGAAAAATTAAATGATTAAAAGATTTTATAATATGAAGTTAAATTTTTATTTTATTTTTCTTGAAATAATAGGACGTTTACACATGGATAACTATTATTCATTGATTAGCAGTAATTTAGGTTTATATAAATGTATTGCCCTTCTAGAAATAATTATCCATGAATGAATTCTCTTATTCTAAATTTATGAGCATTTTTAGCTATTAGGTCTCTAACAATATGTGATGACATTTATGTAATTTAAAGCAATTTTATTACATTAGTTCTAAAATAATCAATATAAAAAACTATGTTTATATTGGTTGAAATTAAAATAGATGTAAAAAGGTTTTTTACATTGATTTGAATATCAATTGATGTAGTATGTGGTTCATTTTTTTTTGAGTTAAACACTTGTGTAATACACTAGTGTAATATCAATGTCTAATGTTGTTGGATCTACATCAACTCCTTAATACTTGTTGTAAAAACTAGCGTGGTTATATTTTTAAAATTTTAACAAAGTTTTCTATGTTGGGTGTTGCATTATTAACGTAGAAATCACATTTACATGTCAATTGTAGTTTTAATTAATGTATATGTTATATTTTACACTAGTAGTAATTATTAGAATTGATGCAATTAAATTTCAACTTTTTAGTTTCTACATACATAGCACTTGTCTTGTATTTCGTCTTCATCCTTTTTTTTTCGTTTCATCTCTTTGATTTGTATCATTTTCTTTTTCTTCTTTTTTTTTTAATCTTTTTTGAATCTAAAAAATCTTTTTGTTTTGTTGAACAGGTTACACAATCAATCGAAGAGGTTGAGTTTGTGAAAGAGGTGAGTGGTGAAAGGGGTCGTGTAGAGAGTTTGTTTTTGCAAATAGTGTGTTTAAATTTTTTGGGTATGAGTAAGGGATGAAAGATGTGAGGTGGGTTTAGGGTGCGAGTTTTGCTAGGGTTGGGATTTTGTGGGTTTGTTTATTGTGGGATTTTGGGGAGAATAGAGTGTGGTTTATGTTGTTGTATGGAAGTGGTTGTTTATGTATGTGTTTCTGCAAGGAGGGGTGTAAAATGGGTGGAGAAAAGGGTTCAAGGTGACGTGTGAAGTGGTGACTTACATTAAATTTTTTATTTTTTATTTTTATTTTATTCACACTTTTACTTCGGTTAAATTTTAACCAATGTAGAAAGTGCATTCTATTTTATGTATTGAGATTTTTGCCAACCCTTATAATAAACGTAGAATCCCTATTTTAACCAATGTTAAATCCTCCTTCTACACTAGTGTAATGTATTTCATCTTTGATCAGGAAGCTTTCATCTAAGACATATGTGGCATTGAAAATAAAATCATATATATCCTCATTTGCCAAAATAATTATTGGTATACTACATTGAATAGGCAATGCTTAAAAGAAAGTTTTTTTGTTCATGTTATTATAATTATTTCCTTTATGCTTTTTGTAACAGCCTGAACACATCGGAATGAAAGGAATTCAAAGATTGTATAAGTATTAAACATATGAGATTGTATAGTTAGCCACCTTCCTATTACACAATAAAAATCTTCCATTGAGTTTTGTTTGCATTCCAAATCAAATCCTTTCGAAAAGAAAAATAAAAAAGCAAATAAGGTGTGGATGTGGATAGAGAAATGACAACATCCAAACACATTATGAACACCCCTCTACTGGTTGCGAACCTTGCAAAGATATTGTTAAGTTAAAAGACAACCTTAGATCCCTTATGTTTTATAAGTTTTAATGATAACAAATGCTACATGTTTTATTAAGAAAATGCTTTGTAAAAGTCATTGTTTTAGACTTTGTAAACGAAGTAGCATTTGTAAAACGAAACAAATCAGAAGAAACATACAAACTATCCTTAATGATCATTATTTATTGTGATTGATACTTTTAAATTTTGAAATTAATAATTTATACCTTAACAAATCAAAAGTCATTGTTTTGGAACTCATTCTATTAAAAATGTATAAAAGCATGTAGAATATTAGAACAAAGGACAAAGATTTCAAATTTCATGAAAAAGGCATTGGAAAAGGACTACATCCTCGTTGTACGCTGATTTTGCTTCCTATTGTTCATATTTTGCTACTCTACTCTGATAAATAGCTTGATCTATCAAAGATAAGGAGTAAGTTTAGGTCAAAGACATTAATTGAAGCATTTAATGCACCAACGAATACTTTTTCTCTCTTTAGATCAAATGAAGTAGTAAGATGAAGCAGTTCTATGAATCAAACTCAAGAAGTTGCAATAGTCTTCTCTTTCAAAGCCATTATATAAAAAGTTCTGGAACTCAAGACAAAAAGTAGTAGTAATACAGAAAAATTTTGAGATACAATATACATCTCATAGAAAATCGTCTTCAAGAATTTTCTTCTACTTAAATGATTTTTTTTAATCACATCTAAAAGAGACGACAATTGCAACCTTGTAATACATTTATAGCCATTGTTATAGGATAGAGCCTAGAGAGGTTTAACTGTAAAATAATACTTGGGGTTAAGCATGGAGAGACTTGTTTGTAAAAAGAATACTTAGGTAGTGACTTGAAGAAATCAGTCAAAGAACACTTGCTTAAGCCATAAGTGGCTTGGTAAAAAGAATATTTGTAACTTTGTTGAAAGTTAGTAGAACTCAATCTAATTAAATTGAAAATTAGACGTAGTCTCAATGATTGAGATTAACCATTATAAAAACTTTTTGTGTTCATCGATTATTCTTACTAACCCTTTGCCTGTTGCAGATACTACTTCACATACTTGAAAATGTGCGAGTTTTTGATATATATTATTCAACCCCTCCTAATGTCTATCTTTTCTCCACAGATATGCATTCAAAATGAATGTGTTTCAAAATCATAGGAATGAACAATTAGACGTTGTATTGGGCAAGTCAAAAAATTAAAATTTTAGGAACATATAAAATCAGTTCTCTTAGAGCCAATTTTGTGAGTATTATACGAAATTGATTCTTTCAAATTGATTTAGTAAGTGTTGCTGATGAAATCGGTTATTCTTATAACCAATTTCATAAATGTTTTTAAAATTAGTTAAAGGTAAATGCACTTTAAATGTGGAGACAGTACTTACAAAATGTCATCATCTTTTCTATTGAATTGATTCTCTTTTAATTAATTTTTAATCTTGAAGTTGTATGCATATTTTGTACTAATGTCCTCACTTTTGCATAATGAACAAATCGTGTTTAGGTGGTCAAAAAAATTTTGTTTTGGGATGGTTGTGGAGTGATTAGGATGGGTGGGAGTTAGCGAAGCAATGGGATATGGAGGGGATGGGAAGGAAGGAGTGTGTGAGGGAGGAGGAGGAGGAAAATGTGGGATCGGGTAAAGGAGAGTGCGAGGGCAAGGAAACAGGAGGTAGAGTGGGGAGTCATGGTGAGTTGGTTGGATTTTTATTTTTATTTTTTATAGGCTTAAATATGTTTAGATTTAAATTTAAGGTAAAATTACATTTTGTTCTTTAAATTTAAATTAATTTTAGTCTTTCAGGTCACCAATAACATATTTAAAAGTGATAAATTGAGACAATTATACAATATCAGTTAAGTTTAATGTAACGTTCTTACTAACAAGAACACTAATAAATAAATTTTATGGAATAATACACTATAAGAAATATATATATATATAATATATAATATAGTGACATAGAAAAAATATCATTATAAATATAATATATATATAAGTATATATTTATTTCACATATAGTTACACAATTTTATTATTAATTTTAAATGAGATTTAACGATATATTTTATCTGGCATTATAGTTTATACTCACACTTTTGAACAATATATCAACATATATTATATTTATTGTGTGGATAAAAGTAGATTTTAGTAACATATATTATCACTATAAAATATGTATCACTATATGACAATTTTCTTATATTGATATTTGACAGATTTTTTAATAAATTTTGAGTAATTTGACTAAATAATTTTTTAAAATATTGCAAAAATTAAAAAAATAATTTTAAATGACTAAAAATATTTTTTTCTTAAATTTTTAAAAAAATATATTTAAACTCTTTTTATATATATCTACGTATGCTAAAATTTAAGTAATATACAAAGCCACTTCTATTGTATATCAATGACAACCATAGTCCTATTCAACCGATGTAAAAGATCCTTCCTTTATTACTGAATATCACTCGATGTTTCTTTCTTCTACTGCGATACTTTATTCAAGTATCATGATTTTTCATTTTTGCTGAGAATTATAATGACTTTTGGTTTATCAAACGGATCGATTCCAACTTTACAAGGCAAGCATAATAATTGGGAGGGAAAAACAAGTAAAAGTATAATATAGAAATATGAATTTACCTCAATGGAAGCTGCAGTGCATAATGTGATCATAGTGAAACAACCCATATATATGCTTCTTCGATTAGAGAAACAAAAACAAGAAAGAAAGACGATAGAGCATCTTGCAGATTAATAACAACAGCAGCTATCCGCTGGTCACGACCCATATAATCTGTGAGATAGTCCATCAATGTAGAGAGCACCGCTATTTCCAAAAAATTGTAGCTTACAACCAAACCTGAAAATGTATCCGCCAAAAATAGTGAAGTTAAACATATATTCCCTTACATAAATTAATAACACAATTAGTTGCGTTCTTCAACAGTGGTTACCGCCAATGAAAGGTATGGTCTTTGAGAAGAGGAATAGATTACGGAATGAAGCTTTTGTGGACTGCAAGAATGACTTAGGAGCTGTGGTGCTTGCTTCTGAACTGTGTTCTTGCCGTGCCATGACGAAGTTTGATGGGAATACAACAATCAATGATAGTGAAGCTAAAGTACATTAGGTAACAGAATGGTACTTTTAAGTGCGTTATTGAGACTGAGTGAGGCGATGAGAAAGAGAAGGTAAGTCAAGTCAAGTCAACACACGTTGTGCGAGGAAAAGGGCTATCACGTTATCGCCAATAATCATTTTTTAAGACCGTCACTTTAACATCTACTCATAGAGCACCATAGGTGAATTTTTTTATTCCTCGATTAACCCACTTTAATATATATATATATATAATGTTAATATATTTTGACTTATTTTTTAATTAAAATATATTAATAACTTATACCAAAATTTTAAAATAAGAAAATCACTTATTTCTTTTAAATTAGTTAATTTATACAAAAAAATATTATAGTAATTTAATTTAATTTTAAAAGAAAATAAAATATTTTCTTTCTTTTATTAACATTATTTTTTACACTCATTTATCTATTTTATTAAATTTTTTCTCCAATCTATTTCTCTTTTTTATTAAATTTCTTGCCTAACTTATTTATCTTTCTTCTATTAAATTTCTTTTTTAACTCATTTTTATCTCATCTCTCATGATGTCTCTTATTTATCTTCATACAAATAAAAAATTAATTAATAAAAAAAAGAAAAGAGTTTGAGAATGAAGTTAATAAGAGAAAGAAAATGTTTTATTTTCTTTTAACATTAAATTAAATTGCTATAATATCTTTTATATAAATTAACCAAATCAAAAGAAATGAATGATTTTCTTGTCTTAAAATTTTGGTGTAGGTTGCTAACATACTCCAACTAAAAAATAGCTGGGAGTATATTAGCATTCCCCCCCCCCTCCACACACCCACACACACACACACACACACAAATTAAATTAAATTACTATAATATCTTTTATACAAATTAACCAAATCAAAAGAAATGAATGATTTTCTTGTCTTAAAATTTTGGTGTAGGTTGCTAACATACTCCAACTAAAAAATAGGTGGGGGTATGTTAGCATTCCCCCTCCCACACACACACAGATACATACACAAACACAAACACACATAGACACACACACACACACAAACACACACACACACACACAAACACACACACACAAACACAGACACACACACAAACACGCACACGCACACACATGCAAACACACATAGAGACACACACGCACGCACACCCACACACACCCGCACACCCACACACACACCCCCACACACACACACCCCCACACACACACACAACCACACACACACACATACACCCACACACCCACACACAGACAAATGAAGTTAATAAGAAAAAGTAAATGTTTTATTTTCTTTTAAAATTAAATTAAATAACTATAATATCTTTTATACCAATTAACCTAATCAAAAGAAATGAATGATTTTTTGTCCTAAAATTTTGGTGTAGGTTGCTAACATACTCCAACTAAGAAATAGGTAGGAGTATATTGACATTCTCCTCCCTCGCCCCACATAGAGACACACACACACAGAGACACACACACACACACATAGAGACACACACACACAAACATTGACACTCACACACAAAGACACACACACATAGACACACAGACACATACAGACACACACAGACACAAATTAAATTAAATTACTATAATATCTTTTATACAAATTAACCAAATCAAAAGAAATGAATGATTTTCTTGTCATAAAATTTTGGTGTAGGTTGCTAACATACTCCAACTAAAAAATAGGTGGGAGTATATTAGCATTCCACCCGACCCCCTTACAGACACAAACACACACAGACAGACACAGACACAGACACACACAGACACACACATAGACACACACACAGACAAACACACACAAACACAGACACTGACATAGACAGACACACACACAGACAGACACACACACAGACACACACAAACAGACAGACACACACACAGACACACACACAAACACAGACACACACACACATAGACACATACAAACACACAGACACACACAAATACACATAGACAAACAGACACACGCACAAACACAGACATACACGCAGACACATATGCGCACACACACACACACACACACACCCACACACCCACACACACACACTCACACACGCACACACGCTCACACTTTAAAATTGACTTAAACATCTAGTTCAATTGATATAAACACGTTAGTTCCATCAAATTAAAAATAATTGGCTTATATAAGGATTAATAAAAATTTATCAAACAAATCTAAAATTGATAAAATATAATTAATAATCCATTAGTTTAATAAATAAAAATTATAAATAAATTATATATATAAATATATATACCAATAACACATGAGATCAATTACTTAAAATACGTTATACCATCTATCTTCGATTATATTCGTACTACTTTGAGGTAGATATCGCTTCTTTGAAGAGACATGATTCTATTATTATATATGAATATGATCCCACCATGGGAAACTAATTCAAAAACAACCATATTTTGAAATATATTTATTTTGTTTAATGATAAATTAATTTTTAATATAAAAATATTTATTTAAAATATATCTAATTATACATATATATTTTAAAATTATATTAATTAAATATGTATATAATAGTTTATCTTAAAAAACAATTCATTTAGATATTATAAATATTTTATTTTAAACATCAATTAAATAATACCTTGCTACTTATAATTTATTTAAATATTTATAAATTGATATTACATTAACTCCATTTATTATTTTAATCCTTGTCTTTAGTTTTATTATATATAAAAAATATTTACCTAATATATTTTTAAATTATGTTCATGAATCTTATTTTATTTCAATTGTTATTTTAAAAGTTAGACTTAACCATTCAATTCAATTGATATAATCGAGTTAGTTTCATCGTTTAAAAGTAATTGACTTATACAAAAATTAATAAGAATTTGTGAAACAATTATAAAATGAAATATTCTTTAGTAATTTTAAAAACATTTTATCTTTTGATTTTAATTTACTCAAAGATGTTCATAATATTTAACTTATGATATATACATCTCCTTTGTTTAAAAAGGCTAAAATTGCTAACAATAGAGCTTGAATCCACACACATACTTACGTGGAGAAAATCTTAAGTCTTCCCCCTTAACTAATTGGGCAAACCACCCACTTGTTCCTTTTTATCAGTTTTTAATACATCACAATGAGTTACGTTGCTTTTTTCTCTATCAAATAGAATATGTGACCGTTTGAACAGTTTTTTTTTATTTGCACATTTATTTTAAAGTTTCGTGTTAAAATAAAATCCCAACACAAATTAACATATTTTATAACTAATTAATATCTAGTTTTAAACTTGATATGAAAATATTATGATATAACTTTATAAGATTTTAAATTAGTATTTTATTAGTGGTTGATAATTAGAAAATAAAACAAAGATAAATATATTTTTTGAATTTTATATGTTAGATTTAAGATGAATAAATATATTAAGTTAATTAATAATTTATTTAAAATATTAAAATTTAATTTATAAAAATAATATTTTAAATGAGAAGGGTTATAATAACACGTGTAACTTTTACTAAGTATTACATCGCTCAATAACTTTATATTAAATGTGAATTTTATAAATTTAACTGTTAGATTTAAAGTTTTTTACTCTTAGATCATATACAAAATTTATATGAATTTAAGATGATTTGATACTTCATTCTTGTAAAATAAAATTGACGTAATATATACATTTCAAAATATACTAAAATATGAGTACTTTGATTACCTTCAAGTTTTTGTTCAATTTTAACAAAACTTTATATAAACATATAAAGTAATATGAACTTTCAATCTAACAGTTAGATTTACAAAATTCACTTTTAATATAAAGTTATTGAGTAGTGTAATACTTAGTAAAAGCTATACCAGTATTATTATAACCCTTCTCATTTTAAAATATAAAAATTATTATTTAAACTTTTAAATTTATAATAAATAATTTAAATTGTATCATAATATTAATTTTAAATAGAAATAAGTAGATTGTTAATTATAAAATTAA